GGTTTCTCTGTGAGTCCATCCTATGGGTTTCCCTGTGAGTCCATCCTCTGGTTTCTCTGTGAGTCCATCCTCTGGTTTCTCTGTGAGCCCATCCTATGGTTTCTCTGTGAGTCCATCCTATGGGTTTCAGCAGTACTGCACAGCAGCCCCTCCCTGCTGTGAGCTCTGTAACCGTGAAAACTGATTCTTGCTTCCTTCTGCCCCCACCCACCTTGGAGCAGTTTTTGGAGCTGTCCCAGGAAGTGCGGCACTATGGGTATATTCATCTGGACCCCTGTACCTGCAACCACCCAGAACCTGGCTGTGGGGCCCAGCTTTCTGTTGGCAACAGTGAGATGAGCTGCTGTATAACACTGCCTGATGGCCAGACCCAGGACATTGCTTTCCAGATGAGCAGAGTGAAGTGCTGGCAGGTCACTTTCCTTGTGAGTATCTGGTGCCTTGCTTTGTCTATCATTTAAAGCCTCCTGTGGCAGCTAGAGGTGCAAGCCTTTAATCCCAACATTCAGGAGACAGTGCAGGCAAATCTCTGAGTCCGAGGCCAGCCTGATCTACAGAGAAAGTACCAGGACAGCCAGGGCTACACAGAAAAACTCTGTTTCAAAATAAAATAAAATAAAATAAAATAAAATAAAATAAAATAAAATAAAATAAAAGTTTCCTCTTGTGAACTATAAATTCTGTCACATTGGATGTCATACTTGGGGCTGGGCAGTCAGGCTTGCAGGAGAACCAGTACCTTGGGTGGGCAGGCATCTCAGCGTGGTGGTAGGACATGCCTATGGTCAGTGTGGACTCCCTGACAGAGCAAGAGAGACACAAACCAATCTTCCCACCTTCTCACAGGCTTCCCGGTGGCTTGGAAGCTAGAGTCGTAGCATAAAGGTGACAAGGGTGACCACATATTGAGCACCTACTGTGTGCTTAGTGTCACCAAGAAATGGGACACTGCCCAGTAGAGCCCTTCTGAAGGAGTCCTGGCTTGAGCTTCTGTCCCTTCCTTTATACTACACATCTTTAACATCAGATTTCTTGACGTATCAGCTACTGTACTGAGAATTGTCACATCTGTTCATTGAATTCTGTCAAGTGTTCAATGAGCAAACTGTGTTTGTCCTGTGTACACGGAACAGTGATAGAGAACAAAAGCTGCTACCTCATGAAAGCCACAGCAGCGTGCCCTGGGCCGCTCACCTTCTCTCCTCACTGCCAAACATTTCTCCCTTTAAAACTTATTAAGTTCTCTCTCTCTCTCTCTCTCCCTCCCTCCCTCCCTCCCTCCCTCCCTCTCTCTCTCTCTCTCTCTCTCTCTCTCTCTCTCTCTCTCTCTCTC